ATTAATTTTAAGTTAAATATAAATTTTATATTAAATCTTATCTATTCAATTTTCATATAATATTAAAATTTAAATTTTTAAATAATTTATCGTTAATTTTTAATTAATTATAAGTTATACACAAATTTTATATTTTTAAACTTATATATTTAATTTTTATTTAATATAAAAATAAATGTTTAATTTTCATACAAAGCACACATTCATTTGCATTGAGCACAAAATCTAAGAAAAACGTACACAATATCAAATTCACAACTCACGCGTTAGGGAGATGCAACAAAGTCCTTCGCCTTTGGACATTAGGAAAAATTCTTTTCTATACTTCTATACTTAGGATACCACCGATCGTGGTATTCTAATTTCTAAGCCAATAAAAAAAAAAAATCACATTAAATTTTCTCTATCAGGTAATTGATGACGTGTGAAAAGAAAAATTGATATGGTGTTGTGTGGTTGGCCCATGTGGTGCCCTAAAAATACAGCAAAATTTCTCAGACATTAGACATGTACAACCACTCAAGATTTTTTTTTTCGTTCAAAGGGAATTGGGGGTAAAAGAAGGGGAAATGAGAGGAGGAGACTCAATCCCTAATAGTATAAGTGGAAAGTTCGGTACAATAACTATATGAACCACGCATCAAACTTCGTACAATTACTCAAAATCTAATTTTGTGAAAAATCATATCTTTTATTAGTATATTGATTCTTTATTGAAATATATTAAAAAATTAGTGGATGACTTTCAAACGGTTTTGATCTTTTTTTAATATGAATTGGTATTATTTTAATATTCTCTTTTCGTATCAAAGATTAGAAAAAAAAAGAGCATAAAAAATAAATAAAACATAAATCTTAAAAAATATTATTATTACTGCACCGAACCTTTCGAATCAAGTGGCAATAACCATCATGGTGCATTCCCCTCTTCCCTAGGGCTGGGGTTCGAACCCAACCCCTTGTAAAATTTGTTCAAAAAAAAAATATTATTATTAATAAGTGTTTTTTATTATTTTTAATATTTAAAAATTATATTAAATTTTAATTAATTTAAAATTAAATCACATAAAACTCATTACAGAAAAGTTTTCTTTTATATCCAAAAGCTATATTAAAAAAAAATTTCGATATTCAAATTTTAAATTAAATTTTAATTAATTTAAAATTAAATTATCTCAAATTTCATAGAAAAAAAAACCCTTTTAATAATACTTATTTTCTCATTTATAAAATTTAAATTTATAATCTTTTAAAAAAAAAAGTTGAGTTAATCAACAGATTGGTGGTATTATTGATAAGGTAGCACTATATAAATCCAAGTTCTGATCATAAAAGAATGAAAAATCCAAATTCAGCCTACACAAACAACCAATACTTTTCCGACACGTTACTGTCTGGGGAGGGCGAGTAGGTGTACGCAAACAGTAATTTAAGTCTTATCAATTCAAACAGTAATTTAAGTCTTATCTAGAGCGATTGATCGAGACTCAAATAAATTTTTAAAAATGCTGTAGTGAATCTTTTGTCCTTATTCCCAGGGTCTTTTATTTTATATATATATATATTACAATATATATATTTTTAACAATATTATATGAAACAGGTTCGAATCTTCTCACGAAGAAAAGGACGCATCTCAAAGTAATCGAATATTACTTGATTCGAAAAGTTCAGATGCATATATATTACAATATTAATATATCAAAGTATTGAATAAATTATTTATTGATTTGAATAAAAAATATTTTTTGATTTATTTTAAATAAGATGTTAAAATTTTTTGTTATGAGATGTTATATGGCTCTATTACGATTAATCAAATCTAATATAATTATTAAATATAATGAGATTCATAAAAAAAAAAAATTGAATGAAAAATTTTGAAATTAAAAATATAATAAAAATATGTAATTTAAATATAAAAAATATTAATTTTAAGTTAAATATAGATTTTATATTAAAACTCATCTATTCTGTTTTTATATAGTATTATAGTTTAAATTTTTAAATAACTTATTGTTAACTTTTAATTTTTTTTTTTTTTAACCAGGTAGATGGTTAGGAAGTTAGTAGAGTTAGTTTGTTAGCAGCTGGAATTTTTTCAGAAAAGTGAACGTTCCACCCCCTCATTTGAGGCGCGCGACTATTAGGTCGCAAGTTGGTAGAGTTCACGACGATGGCAGAGCTCGAAGTCCTGACCTCCGTCTCACCCAAGCCCTAAAGCTTGGGGGCCAACCAATTGGGCCACAAACCCGGTTAGCTATTGTTAACTTTTAATTAATTTTAAGTTATACACAAATTTTATATTTTTAAACTTACATATTTAATTTTTATTTTATATAAAAATAAATGTTTAATTTTCATACCAAGTACACATTCATTTGCCAAACCGGGCTTGTGGCCTAATTGGTTGGCCCCCAAGCTTTAGGGCTTGGGTGAGGCGGAGGTCAGGGCTTCGAGCTCTGCCACCGCCGTGAACTCCACCAACTTGCGATCTAATGGTCGTGCGCCTCAAATGAGGGGTAAAAGATTCACTTTCCTGAAAAAATTTCAACTACTAACAAACTAACTCTACTAACTTCTTAATCATCTACCTGGTTAAAAAAAAAAAAAAAAGTACACATTCATTTGCATTGAGCACAGAATCTAAGAAAAACATCCACAATATCAAATTCACAACTTACGCGTTAGGGAGATGCAACAAAGTCCTTCGCCTTCGGACATTAGGAGAAACTCTGTTCTATACTTAGGATACGACCGATCGTGGTATTCTAAGCTAATAAAAAAAAATCAAATTAATTTTTTTCTATCAAATAATTGATGAGCTGTGAAAAGAAAAATTAATATGGTGTTGTGTGATTGGCCCATGTGGTATCCTAGGAATTCAGGAAAATTTCTCAGACATTAGACATGTGCAACTACTAAAGTTTTTTGTTTTACAAAATAGGGTGGAGATAGAATTTTTTTTTATAAGGTCTGAGATAATTTTTTATATATTAATTTTAAAAAAAATTTTAATTTTAAAAAATTAAAATAATTTTTTATATATTAATTTATAAAAAATTTTAAATTTCAAGAAGGCTACACCCCTTCGCACCCCTTCCCTCCACCACTGGTGCAAAGGGAATTGGGGGTAAAAGAAGGGGAAATGAGAGGAGGAGACTCAAAATAAGTGGAAAATTTATACAGTAACTATATAAACCACGCATCAAAGCTTCGTACAATTACACAAGATCTAATTTTGTAAAAAATCATATCATTTTTAGTATATTGATTCTTTATCGAAATATATTAAAAAATTAGTGGATGACTTTCAAACGGTTTTGATCCTTTTTTTAATATGAATTGGTATTATTTTAATATTTTCTCCTTTCGTATCAAAGATTTGATAAGAAAAAAGAGCATATAAAATAAATAAAACATAAATCTTAAAAAATATTATTAATATTAAATTTTTTATTATTTTTAATATTTAAAAAT